GTCAACTTTAAAGCAGCAAAAGATTAGACTACGTTTCTCATTTTTTTTTCACCGACTAGAAAAAAAAATAGAAAATAGTTGTGATACGAATACGAGGGACATTTTATTCTGCGTGTAGGAAATCCTACGATCAAATTAAAATCACTTTTACCGTGTGACATACAAATTTCAGTAACCCTTTTTGGCATTCCTTTTATTTTCATTCAAGTATACAAATCACTTAATTGGGTAACAATAGTGTTACATTATTAGCTGATGCGGTCAGGCGACAGTATTTTGTTTTGTTTGCTGTATTCACAGTTTTATCTGATTATTTGGGCATCGTCCCTCTTTTATCAAACGTCGAACTTCTATCACGCCGTGCACGCCCTAAACGTAACCGCTCCTACCAGAGTCTGTCTAAAAATAAAATTATTTTCCCCCAAGTCTCTCGGAGTATGTGGCGTATGTGGGCGCGGCAGCAACTGAAGCGCGGGCTGCGGCGGCGCGCGCGGGTGACAAATGCGCCGCGGAGACAGCGGCGGAGCGCGAGGAAATCGGCGCCGATTAGCCGGCGAGGTGGGCGCGCCGCTAATGAACAAGCTGTCGATCTCTCGCGCTCGGCACTCGCGCCGCACTGAATGGAGATCGCTCGCGGCGCCGGATCACTGCAGGCCGCCGCCGCCGCCGCCGCCGCCACCACGACCACGACCGCGACCACGATGACGATCACGTCCACGACCACGACCACGACCGCGACCGCGACCGCGACCGCGACCGCGACCGCGACCACGACCACGAGCTCGTCCACGACCACGACCACGAGCTCGTCCACGACCACAATCACGATCACAACCACGACCACGTCCACAATCACGATCACGACAACCACCACGACCACCACCACAACCACGACCACCACCATGACCACGACCGCGAACACGACCACTACTAAGACAACGTCCACAACCACGACCACGACCACCGTCTCCGCTTCCGCCTCCGCCGCCGCCTCCGCCGCCGCCTCCGCCACCACCGCTGCCGCCGCGAAGAGGAAATCGTTCCGGGTGGAGGAGACTCGTTCACGAGATGACGAGCGGCGTGGCGTACATGCTGGCGTTTACCCGCGTCGCGTGTGCCTACGTCTGCTTCGCTCTACGGCAGGGGTGTGGTTTTAATAGCGTTGTTGAGCAAGTCGATGGTGCGTGGAGCACCATCTGAATTCAATGGCTATTGGATACGGTTTCGAATACCCCGGAGGACGCGCCGAGAGTCTAATGGTCCGTTAAGTTGCAAGGTTGCTAACGTTGTGAAGGCTGCTGAAGGCAAGGTGCTAAGGTTGTGAAGACCACAAACGACTTTGAATTTGCGGATCGGTTACGTGACTTTCTAGTTTCGATAAATTTGTGTAAATTGGAGTTAACTGTAGTTTGAGCTTCAAGCTAACAGCGGTGAATCCTTCGCGCAGTGCTGCACGGACCGAAATGAAAACGGAACGCGGGCGGTCTCATTCAACACTGTCAACACACAGAAGACGGAACCCGGACAGAGAAGACTCGTTCTGGAGATGACGAGCGGCGTACATGATGGCGTACATGATGGCGAACACCCATGTTGCGCGTGTCGTCGCCTACATTGCTGCTCGCTAAGGGCTCTGAATTCATGTCATTGTTGAGCAAGTCCATGGTGCGTAGAACGCGTATTTGAATTTAATAGCTGCGATATACGGTTTCAAAAACTGCGGGATACGTCTAATATGCTAAGTTCGTCAGGTTGTGAAGACCGACAACACCTCCGAATTTGCGGATCGGGTACGTGATTTTTTTTAATTTCAACAATTTTGTGTTAATTCGAGTTTACGCCAGTTTGAGCTTCAAGTAAAACATCAGTAGATTTCTCACGAGCAGTTTTCATGTTCAGCAGCGATGAACAGAGAATGCGGGCGATCTCTAATACGATATTCCAGAAGGACCGCACAATCCCACCGGCAGAAGAAGGCTCGTTCATGAATCAGAGACGGGCGACAACCTGGTGCTGCACGGTTGTGGCGTGCGTTCGCTGGTTCGATCTCCGACACGGGCTATCGCAATGTAATGGACGCGGGGTTCGAGAGCTGAGTGACACGGCGATAGGATCTGACGCGATGAATGCATTAGGCAGATAAGGCGACTGGTGACAAACGTAGCCCGCTGCAACCTGTTCCCCGCAGCAGCGTAAACCCGCGCTGGTCAGCATTTCAAATTAACTTTCGTACCTTATGGTCTCTTTTCCGCGGCTTTGATGCGAGGGAGAGACGATTTGGGGTGAATACCAGAATTCGAAAGATTAGAACGCGAAAGGATGTAGGTATTGTAATGGCTAAAAGGCCTTCGGCATAGCCACATAGGATCAAGTAAGCTAATTTGCTTGTAATAATTACCTACTAAATAAATAATAAATAAATTAACTTTCATTCCATCGCACAACCTTACTGATCACAAGAAGCCAAAATAAATCCCCTAAACATGATCATGTGGTATGTAAGGTTCAGGTATATTTGTAAAATCAAGACCAATTCTTTTCCAAATCATTTAAACATTTCGAAATTTCAAGATTGTCAACGCTAGTGTCAGTAGGCATTTCGTGCGTTACCTGGTTGGATCGCTGGCGGGAGCCCTCCGCATTACATTGTCACTTGTCAAAGGTAATTTATCTGACAGTATGCCTTGCAACGAACAAAATGGGGAGTGGTTTCACATAAGGAAAAAGAATGACAGTTTCCTAAAGATCATATGATTATAAAATTGTTTCCCGGGTCCATATGAAGTGGATGCATATCTAAACGTTAGAGCAAGTTTATTTACTTGAGGCAATGAATGGTTAAACGAGTTTATATCGGTGAAACTCTTAAGATACGTTTTACCTCGGGTAACAAAAGAAATAGTTTGAGTTGAAATGTTTAATAAAGAAGAGATAAGAAAAAATGCTTCACTGACAATATTTTACGCAACGTTTAACAACTTCAAATAAATATTTTGTTTTATTTTGAATTAAATATTATATTTCTTCCTTGCATAAAGGTAATAATTGGAGACAATTGAATGGTATGGACATGTATGTGACGTAACATCGGTAATCGATGAGGTCGTGCACCATCGAAATCGACAATGTTTCTAAATATAATGATCGAGAAATTCGACTCGAACGGTGACTAATATGACGATGGGATCCGATGTGATGAATAGTTCATTTAGCAAAGGCCACTGATGACATATTTGATGTGTACATGAACTGTTTCTGATTATGAATAAATTGAGTTAATTTACTTTTAATGTAGTTTGAGTTATAAGAAGATGGTTTACAATTCTCAATAATCCTTACAAGCATCAATTGAATTTGACATTTGTGCATATGACACATACAAAACCGATTGCAAATAACTCGTATTAGCACAAACATCCTGTTTGTGTGTGACACACATCTAATTATCTTGAAATGTGTATTTATCAATTATTATATATTTACTCTTCCTACTACCTTTGTGGAAAAAACAATTCTTCTGATTTTCCAATAGACAAAAACAATAATTTCATATTCAATATTCTCCCTCTTACTGCGTAGTCCAAGAGATATCCGCAGTTATCTGCAAATGTTTTTGGACATTTATGAGACAAACATAAAGGGAAATGGTACATAATAAAAACGTACGCTTGACAAAATTTATGTTTTAATATAATTTCAGATATTCCTTTATTTAATTTAGTTGTACCAAATTCACACTATCTCTACAAATGAAAAGGCTAATGAATAATAGCAAGATGTTACACAAAAATTCTTAAATAAACTGGGTATAAAGTCGTAGTTCGAGGTAAATTTTTGTTGATAGTAATGTGCGGAATTTCAAAATAAAAATACACATGGACGTAATGCAAAATCATTTCACAACGAAAATTCACTGCAATTTCGAAATCACCCCAACTACAGAGTGCCCTCTATTGGAGGGAAGTCTAAACAGCGGTCAAACGCGCTGACGGAAATGCGCCGACGCAGTTAGATAGCTTTGACACGCGACATGAAACCTGTGCTGAACGAGTACGTAACAGAGTTGCCAGAGAGTTGAGCCAGAGGGAAATGGCTGCACCGCCACTGCCGTTAGCACGTCGCCCCATCCAATAAGCGCGTCCCAATCGAATAGGGAAGCCGACACAGACGGCGACGGCGGCGCGCGGCCGGGAGGACGGGCGGGCGCGCGAAACCTTGCAATCGCGAAATTCATTTAGACGCCCGCGAAGAGGGAGAGGTTATCTAAAATTATTTCGCGGAGCACGGTTCCCCGGCGACGGAAGTTACCTCTAAGGAAGCTGGAAGTGGAGTGGCGAATTGGGGGGGGGGGACGCGGGGAGGGAGGGAGAGACACGGGAAGAGAGAGAAACAAGGAAAGGGAGCGAGGCACATAGAGACACGGTGACACAGAGAGAAAGAGGTACGGGTAGGGAGAGAGGCAGATAGGGACACGATGAGAGCGAAAGAGAAAGACGGGAAAGGAGAGAGGCAGATAGACACGGGAAGGGAGAGAGGTAGATAGAGACGCGGTGAGAGAGAAAGACTCGGTGAGGGAGAGAGGCACATAGAGAGACACGGGTAGGGAGAGTGGCAGATAGGCACGGTGACAGTGATAGAGACAAAGAGAGGTGACAGACAGGAGAGAGATAAACACGATAAGAGAGAGACGTGCTGAGAGACAGAGACATATATAGAAACAAGGGGAGGGAGAGAGGCACATAAAGACACGGTGAGAGAGCAGCGAGAGAAAGAAAGATGCGATATGAGAGAGAAAGATGCTGTGAGAGAAAGCTGTGGTGAGAGGGAGGAAGACTCGGCGGGAGAGAGAGATGGGGAGGACGTCGCGAAGGGAACGAAGCAAGCAGGGGCGGGGCAGGAGGGTGGGCAACGCGAAAAGGACGGAGAGGGAAGTGGCGGGGCAGAGGGCTGAGGGACGAGGACGGGAGTGTTGAGGTCGGGAAGGGCTCTAGCGCGTAGCCTTACGTCGCGGTAATCAAGTTCCCTGATGCACAGGGACCGCCGCCGCCGCCGCCGCCACCTCCGTTTCCGCTTCCATCTCCGCTCGGTCCCCGGCCCCAACTCCCGAGTTGCTTTCTGCTCCTTTCGCTGCTTCTCATGACCTTTCTCGTTCCTTCTCCCGTTGCCTTGCCCTCTACTCTTCTTTTTCAAGGCCTTTGATTTACTTTCCAATCAATGTAATTCCCATCTCGTTCGTTCACTTTTCCGACTACATCGAGACTACAACAAGATTACAAAGTGTGATTAACGTTTTGGAAACGGTAAACAACAAAGATAATCATTTTCCATTGCGAAACTCGTGAGATGAATGTACCAGGTTTTTACTTTTTTGAAATTAAAAACTTTAAATTCAAATTAAACAATCAACTGAGGATGAAACGTTAATTTGATGTACCGTTATATTCCATAAAGGCAAAAGTGAAACTTTTCTCGCTCCTACTGCAATTTTCAACACTATTTTCTTCTGCTCTGAAAGCATTTTTTACCCTTATGTGGATCCCCATCTCTCTTTTCCTTCACATTCCAATAATCAATTTTATTTTTGTGATCAGTTGATTCGCCTTCTCCTTTCGATCTGTTGCTTTTTTCTTTAAATTTCTTGAATCTTATGCTACAAGAAAATCCATAACTATAAATTAGTATCATTGTGTGCTGTTCTTGAACACTTAGAAGGCAATCATTTTTTCCCCAAACTTCACTATCAACTTCTATGACATACGTTCCTTTGCTCGCGTCTACTCTACTATTTACATCCTATCCGGTAATTATATATTCAACTTTCAAAGATAACAAGTTTTATATTTATTAGTGCCACGCAGCCGCAAAAATACTTCTGAACAAAACCACAGCAAATGGTTTCCCAAAAAGTAACAAGCACATTGCTCACTAACAGTTAAAAAACAATAAAACTGCAATGGATTAAATATTTTAACAAAAATAGTCTTCATGAATACTGTAGAAACATAATGTAGCATGACACAATAGTCCTTTGCATACCAAGAACAGCAAAACATTTACCATTCCATAGTACAACAGATGAATAGCAAATATTTTATGGCGAGTGGCTCTTTTTTTCTCAGGATTTTTGCTGTTGCCTGACGTCAGTTGTATCATCAGCAGTGTCGCATTGAGTTTATATAATTAGTCTATAGGGCAGTAGGGAGTAGGCGCAATAACGTAATCATATATCTGCATTTTGCAGTCAAAATCAAAATGTCCTTGGATTTTCCCGAGTTCATAGGTATCTAATGGGATCACAGACACCACATTGCATAGTTTTCTTTCATCTCTCGTTTTATAAATTAGTAATATAGATATCTCTCTAGTTTATTCTTTAAATCCTTTAATTTAATATTTTACCATCATTATACCATATAAAATTACCTGAACACGATTGAAAAACATTTTTATTTCATCTCAAAAATGTGTTTTTCTTTCCCTCCCTTGTTTGTGTGTCCAGAATTTCCCCCGCTCCTTTCACAGTCCTTTATAATATTCCCCATATTCATCTGCTTAATAGTCCTCAAACCAGGTCTCTCCACAATTTGCAAGCCAATTATTTTCGATTTCGATATTTCTAATGCTCATTCCGGTTTGTAATTTTGAGTCCAACTAATGTTTTTGGTCGCTCTGTTGGCTCACTTATATCGCATTCTCCATTTCCTCCGCATTCTAACAAAAAATATCCCTTTCACCGCTCTTTCAGCCAACTTCTCTCTCTCCCTCCACCCCTCTCTCTCCCTCTACCCCTCTCTCTCTACCCTCTACCCCTCTCTCTACCCTCTACCCCTCTCTCCTCTCTCCCCTTTCTACCTCTCTCTCTCTCTCTCTCCTCTACCTCTCTCTCTCTCTTCTCTCTCCTCTAACCTCTCTCTCTCTCCTCTCTCTCTCCTTCTACCTCTCTCTCTCTCTCTCCTTCTACCCTCTCTCTCTCTCTCTCCTTCTACCGGGCTCTCTCTCTTCTCCTTCTACTCTCTCTCTCTCTCTCCTTCTACCTCTCTCTCTCTCCTTCACTCTCTCTCTCCTTCTACCTCTCTCTCTCTCCTTCTACCTCTCTCTCTCTCTTCTACCGTCTCTCTCTCTCCTCACCTCTCTTCTCTCTCCTTCACCTGTTTCTCTCCTATTTTTTCCTTCTACCTTCTCTTTCCTTCACCTCTCCTTCCTTCTACTCTCTTTCCTTCTACCTCTCTTTCCTTCTACTCTCTGTTCCTTCTACCTCCTCTTTCCTTCACCTCTCTTTCCTTCTACCTCTCTTTCCTTCTACCTCTCTTTTCCTTCTAACCTCTCTTCCTTCTACCCTCTTTCCTTTCTACCTCTCTTTCCTTCTACCTCTCTTTCCTTCTACCTCTCTTTCCTTCTACCTCTCTTCCTTCTACCTCTCTTCTCTAACCTCTCTCTGTCCTTCTTACCTCTCTTTCCTTCTACCTCTCTTTCCTTCTAACCTCTCTCTCTCTCTCTCTCTCTCTCCCTTGTCCTTGAATACACCGCTGCTGCCGTTCTCTACACCACTGCCTGCGTTGCCGCCGCCCGCAACACGGTAGCCTGGGGCGGCAGCAGGGGCCCACGCGCTGCATTGTTAATGTAATGAATTCTCGTCCGCACGCAGCGCGGGGAGTCTTTGAGGCGACGACTCCCCACTTCCGGGCGCTCGCAGCGGCTGCGAGGGGGGCGTAGACGGGGTCGAAGTGTGCAGAGGCGATGGGAGAAGGGCCGAGGCGGGGGCGGCGGTATTGCAAGCGGAAACGCTGCTGGTCGAGATGGCGACGCGTGATGTGGGGATGGAGAATGGTGTGGAAGTGAACCGGAGGAAGCGGTGGAGGCGGAGAAGGCTTTGCGGTTAGAGAAAGAAGGAGGGGAAGGAAGGAGATGTGGTTTACACTGAGGGCGCGTCGGATAGGTGGAAGGAAGAGGAAGAAGAGGGGAAAAGAAAGGTACATTGAAGCGGAGGAGCAGATTCTAAAGCGGAAGGACAAAGGATAAGGGGGGAGTTTGAAGAAGCTCAGAGTGACGCTGAGCAGGGTGGAAACAGCCCAGGTTGATGAATAAGAACTGATGAATGTGGCGGCGATGGCAGGTTAGGGTAGCCACAGCGTTTCGCACTGTCTCGGCTGCGGTGGCGGCTGCCGGAGGGAGTCTTCGACGAGCGTAGAAAAAGCAATGAGAGGGTGCGCAGCAATGTGTGTGTAGCGGGGTGTAGCGTGGTATGTAGTGTTGCGGCGGGGAATGGAGGGGTATGGCGGGGTGGAGTGGGTGCGTGTTGTGGCGGGGTCAGGCGGGGTGTGGTGGAGTATGGAGGGGTGTGACGGTGTATTGAGAGGTGTGTCTGTAAAAATGGGATGGTGTGGCGGGTTGGAGTAGGGTGTGGCGGGTGAAAAAGGGTGATGCGGGGTCGG